TGTGAAGGGTCTGGAGCACAGGGAGCTGAGGGGGCTCAGCCTGCAGAAAAGGAGGTTTGGAGGGACTTTGTCACTGTCCACAACGCCCTGACAGGAGGGGTCAGCCAGGATTGGGCTCTGCTCCTGGGTGACAAAGGGCAGGACAAGGAGAAATGGCCCCAGGGGAGGTTCAGGTGGGATATTAGGGAGAAATTCTGTGTGGAAAAGGTGTTCAGGCCTTGGAACCTCACTGCCTTGGGGCAGTAGTGGTGTCACCATGGCTGGAGGGATCAGCTCTCTGTAATTCAGCTCAGAGCTCAATTTCTGCTCTCTGCAGTTATTTTTGCTCTCAGCTGACCATGGGCAGAGCTGTGTTGCTGCCCAGGTGCTGTGGGGGCACCACTGGGATACAAACTCTGAACCTGACAGTTCTGCCAGAGCTGCCCTGTTAGCTGGGCAGGAATTGGCTTCATTTGTGAAGGGTCAGGGAGCTGTGGTCAGTGACAAAGTCCCTCCAAACCTCCTTTTGTCCAGGCTGGAAGGGCTGTCCCAGGCCATGGAGTCCTCCACAAGGAGCTGAGGCAGCTCAGCCTGCAGAAGAGAAGGTTTGGAGGGACTTTGTCACTGTCCACAACTCCCTGACAGGAGGGGACAGCCAAGACTGGGCTCTGCTCCTGGGTGACAAAGGGCAGGACAAGGAGAAATGGCCCCAGGGGAGGTTCAGGTGGGATATTAGGGAAAGTTTCTATGTGGAAAAGGTGTTCAGGCCTTGGAACCTCACTGCCTTGGGACAGTGGTGGTGTCACCATGGCTGGAGGGATTTAACAGATGTGACTGTGACACTTGGGGACATGGCTTAATGGTGGCTTTGGCAGTGCTGGGGGAACAATTGGACTCCATGGTCCTGGACAGCCTTTCCAGCCCAGATAATTCAGTGATTCTGTGATGCTGCAGATGCCCTGACAAACTCCCAGCCTGGAGCATTGCCCAGGACTCACCTGGTAGCTGGGTGGGCATTGCCTGGGTGGGCATTGCCAGGATTCCAGCCTGGTGCAGCTGTGCTGAGCTGCCTCTGGTCAGAATTCTGAGCCCTTTCCTGTGCTGGGTGTCAAACCTGCCCATCCCCAGCTCTGTGACCTGGGGCAGCTCCAGCCCTGCTGGGGCTGAGGGGCAGCCAGGAGTGTCAGGAGCTCCCAAACCAGACCAGGCAGTGCAGGGGGGTGTGGAGCAGGGAACCCAGTGCCAGGATGTGTTGGGTGGGGTGTGCTGGGGATTTGGCAGCAGTTCAGACCAGCACAGCCACCTCTGTGTGTGCTGCTGGGGTGGGGACAGCTGAAACCACGAGACACCCAAAATTAGAGCTGGGAAGGGGGAGGAGAGGGGGTGAGGAGGGTTTGCTGGGTGGCTGTGTCAGGCTGACACGGCTGACCAAGGTCTGACCATCTCCTCAGGGAGCAGCACTTCCCTCCCTGGCCAGCTTTGTAAAATCCCCCCTGGTTTGAGGTGCCCCACTGGGGTTTTCAGTGGGTTCTGCATGGGACAGGCATTGCCCTGCAAATGGGAGGGGGGGGTCCTGGGG